GCAAATTTCTTTAAGCATGAGCTGAGATTGCATCTGGTATAAAGGGATAGCCTCAAAAGTAGATTTGATTAAAACAGTCCTTCCTGCCTGAGATAATAAAGGGATCTTCCATCCTGCCAATCTACCTTTCATCCGTTCTAAAACATAAGACCATCCACCAATATTCCTCCCACCTTTCAGAAGGGGAACCCCTAAGTACATATCATCATTATTCATGTGTTGTACATTCAAAGCATTTGAAATAAGATTTCTAACTCGGCGTTCTGTATTGGAACTGAAGTAGATTGCTGATTTCTGAAAATTTATGACTTGTCCCGACCATTGACAGAAAATGTCTAATTGCTGTTTGAGACAATCAATTTCCTTCAAACAGCACCTACCAAACAGTAGCATATCATCTGCAAAAAATAAATGATTTAATCGTACCTTGTCCTCCCCAAATGAATTTCCTGTAAACCTCCTTCTTGCATCTTCATAGTAAGCATACGAGATAGGACTTCAGTGCATAAAATATAGAGGTACGGAGATAATGAACATCCTTGGTGAATCTCTCTAGATGGTTGAAAATAAGTTCCAGGAACACCATCTACCAAAACAGCCAGATTCGTCGATGAAATGCATTGAAATATAATGTCACAAAACTTAGTAAGAAACCCCAAAGAAGATAGTATTTTCAATAAAAATGACCATTCAAGGAAAGGTCTAATTTCAGCACAAAGAAGTCTTACCTCTTTGCTTCCTCATTGTATGAACTGCTTCTTAGTTTGCCTTCCTGGAGAGAAGGAATTTTGGTATGGGCCAATAATTTTCTGTAAAAGAGGTTTCAGTCTATTTACCATGATTTTGGCAATGAACTTGTACGACACATTACTTAGCCCAATGGGGCGAAAAACTGAGGGAAACTCTACATGGTCAGATTTAGGAATCAGACATATGAGTGTTTGATTTATAGAAGAAATCGCCTCTGGACTGGAGAAACAATGCTGAACCAACTTCACAATATCACTTCCTACTATATCCCAACACCTTTGAAAGATCGCTGTAGGAATACCATCTGGTCCCGGCGCTTTATGAGCACCCATACTAAATAAAACATTCTTGATTTCTAAGGCCTCAGGTAGTTTGCACAACAACAATTCAGTATCTGTTTGTGTAAGAACTATAGGAAATCCATGATTTTCATGGACTCTTTCCAAATTAAGCCAAAGGCTTCGTTTGAAAGTCACGTAAATACAAAATTGCAAGGTGTAAAGTGCAAACCGGTTTGCTTTTTACATTTATGGTTTGTTCTCATCTCGTTTGGCACAAGAGAGTGAATACATGCATGCACTTTTCCTGGCATTTGGAAACTGAATGACATAAATTCAAATTGAACAGATAGATATAATGGTTAACAAATGAAATGACAAAATGCAGGGCCCTTAATTGCTTCTGACAAGGTATGTGACCTGTAAACAAAAAATAAAAAATAAAAACAAAACAACATCTATGACACATATATCTAAAATAGAGAAAGATGAGAAGCGTCGTATTACGCAAATCAAATATAGTTGAATAGATCTCTTGAGATTAAAAGTTGCCGATGACTTTGGGTTTTGACGAGGATTAATAAACACATTGGTTGAGTAGATCTAGGTTGCAGATTGCAAGATTGACCATTCCTTAATACTTGAGTCTGGATTTCCTGCACTCACCTGAGCTGGGTGCATTTGATTTGACACTTCAATCATTCATAAACCCGGATTTCACATGTGGAAAAGCGTTAAACAACATTGTTGTCCATGCCACTATCTCCTTTTATATAATTTTTGAGTTGAGATGTAAAATTGAGAAAATAAGATTAAACTCAAAGCTATGAACATAAACCGATGCCTCATACAAACAAGTTGCATTGATGAGGTAAAGATTAGCAGAAATCCATTCAGCAAACGATTATTACACTCTAGTCCTAATATATATCAAATTAAAACTCTTGGTTTTGATAAAAAAAATGTTTCAACTTTTCTTTCATGGGCAATAAGATCTCAAAAGGGTTGACATCGATTGAACAAGAGAGAGAGAAGAGAGAGAGAGCAAGCAGTGGCACAAAGCAGAGCACTTGAGAAATGGAGAAATGAAGTTTACTTAGACACAGTAAAAATGATTCTAAATAGCACTAACCCAGGTTTATATTTGTAGGAAAGAAAAGAATATTGACTAGGCAACAATGAAGAAAGCAACTCTGCCATTAGATTGGAGCCTGCCACCAGTCCATCTCTACTTTCTCTCTCTTAATCCGGCCCCCACCCGGAGACCAAAACCATTCATAAATTGGAGGGTGAGGGGGTTGGTGTTTGATGACCTTGTCACTGTCAATAGGTGATGGATGTTCTGATTTGTCAGTTGAGAGGAGAGGAACGGGGGGTGTTCGTGAAGTCTGCAGAGAGATGGATAGTGCAGTTGCAAATTAATTAAGTCTCTATTTTGTTATTAATTTGTATAATGGTTGCTTGATCAGTCAGTCCTACACGACTGTGGAGACGAAGGCTGCTTGAAGATTTTGAAGATATCCAAGGAGGCCATATTGGAGGAAAAGCAGTGATCGTAGAGATTGTGATGGATGTAGAATCATCATCACCTTGAGACACTAACAACCAATACCTGAGGTTGATTCTGCCGCCAGTGATAATTGTTTGTCGCCGGCGGTAATAGTTGTTAAGTCGCCACCGGGTGAATGAGAGGAGAGGAGACTTGAAAAAATGGGTATTGTTTGCAACTCGCAAGCTAACGGCGTGAAGCATCCCGCATGCTTCACACGTTTACATGAATTGAAGGACGCGTAGCGCATCCTCCAATTGCGCGAGTGGTGCTTGGACCGAAGGTGCCTCGACCGAAGCCAGACTCTGTTTTAGAACAAATAGAAAAAATATGTAGAGTTTGGACCTCCCATGTGACATTACCGTTTAAAAATCACAATAAGATTAACTCCCCATAGAATGCACTTCTCACGCCTCCAACACGCACATCTCGATGTGCTCCGATAAGATCTCCCTGACCTTTGTATCCGTACCCCATCAACTTTTTCCACATCTCTAATCATGGTTTTTAAAATGGACCGGACTGGATAATCGGACCAGAAAAACTGGTTTGATTGGTTCCGTTTTATTTCATAATCATCTTTTGGCCAAAAACTATTGATTTGATCAATAAACCGTCGACCTTTGCATTTAAAGTATTCAATGGTTTTGGCTTTTGTTTTTATTTTTTTTAATTTTTTTTGTCAGAATGAACAGTCTATTCAGTTCAAATGATCTAACCATTTGACCCAAAAACTAGACCCCTAAATGATTTGTTGTCCGGTTCAATTTTAAAAACCTTGTCTCTAACCTATGCATTGGAAATATCTCCCTTGTCATTCACGGAGAGATGTTCTCAATACATGGTGGTGGTGCTTGAGGGAACAATTTGTGGGTAACAAATGCATATGATGAGTTGTTAATGGGAGATGTTCACAATGTATGATTGGCATAATGAGTTAGGAGTACATTCCAACAATTTATCAATATGATAGGGTACCCCACATCTCACTTGAGACTAGGACCCACCATGTATGAGATATGTGGTGTCAAATGATGTTGGGAGGGCATTGGGACGCTTTTTTTGTTGGCAGATGATTTGGACTTGACATGACTTGGAGGGTGTTAGAACGTTCCCAAAATACGATACAACACCCTCCTAACAGATGGATGTGTGGTTTCTAATTATGTTGTATGGGTGTTGGAACATGTTTTGTTGATAGGAGATCCCAATTAGTATGTGGCATCACGAGCCCTCCAAATTATAATATGTGTTTGGCATTGATGCTGCATATACATAAAACAGTGTTGTATATGTGTGGGTAGGAAATACGGTTTTCTGAGAAAAATGGTGTTTTTTTTTTTTTTTTTTTTTTTCTGTTTGGAAACGGTATCATCAGGTAAAGCGTTTCTTGGGACAATAACAACACCTTTTATTTGGTACCAGTGCTCCATATCTATTTTCAGCGCTAGTATCTATTATAGGGAGTCCATGTCACTGCCACGTCATGTTTCCATTGACAGCAATGAACTCCAAACTGAAAAAACATTGAATTCGATGTTTTCCCAAACCATGCCTTCTGAATTTCCGATGCATAATTTAGGACGTCGTTTTATATGAAAAAACAATTCCAAACATATTATCGGAGCAACCACATCGAAAGCAAACACCACCATAAAAATCAACTCTTCTCTCTCTAGTGTAGCATCGGGCTAAAACTGTGAATCACATTACTTTATGGCCAGCTTGAATTTACCCGCATTGTTAAGACAGTATCGTAGCCCTGCGTTGAAACAAGAATAAAGCCTTTGATTTGATTTTCTGTCATGACCCATCTTGAATTAGATGAAATGATTTATTGGTGGGACCACTGCAATAGATGCAAGGGAATAATTTTCTGCACTGCAACGAGGTCATAGGACAAATAAACTCAGCTTAATTGGATAAAATAACATAAAGTGGGGTCAGCACTACTTCAAGTGCTGATTTCTCAATTTGAATCATCAGAAAGCGCTCCAAACAATGATCTCATGTCCCAGCAGCATCTCCTACAGGGTGCCTCATATCGATTTCATACTGCACATCTTACCATGCATTGAGAATATTTCCCATATTTATAAATTATTATTCACGAGAGATATTCTCAATGGATGGTGGATGTGCCTGTGAGCGCTCATGCGTGAGGAATAAATCCCATTCCGTTTTGAAACCACAGGCGCCTCACATTAACCTCACACGCACATCCTACCATACATTAATAACATCTTCCGTACTTATATAATACACGGTGCGATGTGACTTTCAGATGGGTGTGAGGAGCATTCTGTTAAAAGTAGAACAAATCCCAATTCGATTTCCAATTCAATCCACCCTCGTTGCCACCTGCCCACCCCCACTCCAACACAAGCTTACACGATCCACATTGTTTTTTATGCCTTATGTGGTGATTCCTATTCCAATCTCCATAAAATAATCTGGATATAACATTTGCCATTTGTCATTGCGCAGAATTTCTTTTTTCGGTTTAATCATTTGACAAGACCGAAATTTCGGTCTCATCTTCATTTCGGGCCTGCAATTGGCAATCTATAAAATTCATCCCTGTCATGATGCAAACGTGTCAGACTCGGATACTATCGTCGGTGGGAGTCCCTCTTCTTCGCCGGAGTCTGCCTTTGTCTTCCGATTTCGTCGTTGATAGCACAAAGAGTAACGGCGATAATAGACGGTTATTATCACTATACGCAGCCAGCAATCGTCTGTTCTGTCTTTGCTCCTGGAGAAGGAGAATAGGAGGAGTCCGCGCCATGGATGAGAACAATCTCAGCGCTGCTGAAGATTCGCCGGAGCACATTGTCGGAAGCTGGTACTCTGTCCCGGACCTTCGACTCCGCGACCACCGCTTCACCGTCCCTCTTGATTACTCCACTGCCCACCAGAGGATCTCCGTCTTCGCTCGCGAGGTCGTTGCAGGTACTCTTCCATCGAGTTTTCTTGCGCTAACACTTCCACCGCTTGCTCTCTTAGGTTTTAGTTACCAAGTCGTCTTGTGTCTAAGAAAGAAAACATAACTTCCGTCTCTGTTAATTGCTGTCTTTGGAACGTTTGACTTATTCGATGCCGATTCAAATTTCGATCTCTGATTTCAGTTTTTATTAGAGTTTACAATGGAGTAGTTCCCACGGTGTTTGAGGCTCACCAGCTCTGTGCGGGACTTGTCGTCGAATTCTTTATTATGGAAGAAATCCCAGGAAAGTTATGGACTTGGAGTCAATGTGGATAAGGGTATCTTTTTTCTTGTCGGTAGGGGAGAAAAAGGCAACAAGGCGTTAAAGCAGAACCTAACCGAATATACATACTCAACTCCAACTCAATAAAGCCTTAAGCCAACTTTATGGGGTAAATCTACGTGAATCCTGTTCTGCCATTCCACGCCATGTCCGTTGTTAAATGATGATTTGTTGAGAACTTTGAATCATTTTACACTACTTTAACCAACGTACTTTTTGGCCTGCCAGGTCGCTTCTTACTAATGCCGTGGATGGTCTTCCATGCACATGACTAAATCATCTGAGTGTACTTCTTCGTCTTATTACCTTCAGGGTTACCACTTGATCCCATGGATATGTTCATTTCGGATTTCAACTCATTCATCTAAGCATTTGTATCTCTGCTACTGCGCTACACCCATTTTTGGACATATTGTTTCTTGACTATCCAACACCCTCCTTATTAGTCTTATAGCTGTTTTATAAAATCTTCCCTTTAAGCCGGAGTGGTATTCCCCTATCACACAGGACTTCGGAACGAATTTGTCCATCCTGCTTTAATTCTATGGGTGAAGTCTTTGATTTCTCTCTTGTTATGAGTTATCAAATCAAGGAAATGAAAGAAGTTATATTGAGATATCTCTTGGTCCCCAATCCTAATTGTACCGTAATTCCCACTTCTGCAAGTATTAAATTTACATTGCATATATTTGATTTTGTTATACTTTTCTTGAATTTTTTTGTTTTTAGAGCATCTTTTCATAGATCTGATTCTGACTTTGCATTTAATTCCATTCTACTTCCATCAATTAATAGTGTCGTCAACAAACAACAACACCATGGGACCTCCTCTTGTATATGCTTAGTTAGTTCATCTGTTATTGATGTAAACAAATGAGAACCAAGTATTGAGCCTCAATGAAGTCCCATTGCAATTGAAGAGTCTGATGTCTCTCCATAGATTGGTAACATTGATCATTTCACCACTATACATGTCCTTAATTAGGTCCTCTTACCTAATATGCATTCCTTTCTTTTCCAAAACCCACACATCATAATCACTATCCAGATCAACGAATATCATGTTTAGATTTCTCATCTTGTCCCAAAGCTTCTGTCAATCACCTCAACAAAAAGATAGCTCATATTGTTCATCTCCTTGGCATGAAACCAGACTAATTTTCTGATATATTTGTATTGTGACATAAGGAGCCATTGCTTGTTGTAGTGGTAAAATATCAGGCTGACAAGAATGAGAAAATGGGTTTAAGTCTGAGAGCTGTCACTTTGTGAAAAAAGGCTAAAGCCTAAAGGTTATGTTTGCATCCAGTCCATCCCTTCCAAGACCAAGGTTCAAAATCGTATCTTTTAGGTGTTGGTACACCTAATTAAAGGTGTTTTGGAGAAACCTTTTTAATAATTAGAACACATAAAAATAGGCCCAAATTCAAATTTTGAAAAAAATAAATAAATAAAAGGTTCAAAGTATCAATATACCCCTTCTGGCGTATTGAGGTGTATTGATATTTTGAACCTTGGTCAAGACCCCAGGTCGAGTAATGGCCTTTTTTAATTGTTTTGTGTCAAGACCCTTGTTTGATCACTCTCTCCTAAAGTTTCATAGCATTGCTCATATGTATTATGACTTTATATGCCATCTTTTGTTTTTAAATATAGCCATCATGGTAAGTTTTCTCCATTCACCTAGCATTTTCTTTGTTTTCATTATCTTATTAAATAGTTTAAATGTTTAATCATGAGGCTTTCATCTTATTTAAAACTTCCTTCACCTTAAAAACTCTAATTTTGTGAAATCAAATATAGTTTCCAGTTATATCAGAACCACTAATCCCTCCCTAGCCCTGATCCACTATATATTCTTATATTAATAAAACTTTAAAATTAACTTCTCTACTTTTCTTGATTTCCTCATTGTTTATGAAAATTATTCAAATTAACAAGATCTAAGTCTTCATTTTCTTTTACTCATCTTTGTATGTTTATAAATTCCATTTCCTCCCTTTTTGGCACTTGGCTTATGATAATGTCCACCGTGCATCTTAAAGTTAGCTTCACTTGCGTACATTTTAGTAATTACCAATCTTTATAACGATTATTTTGCTTTGATTGCATTTTGAACCTCATAATTAAACCACTGAGGCTTTTTTATTAGCTTGGCATTTCCCTTTAGATTCTCCTAAAACTTCATTTGCTGCTTTTTTTAGTTGGTCGTTCCAAGTTACATATCTCCTACCTGTATGGCACCTTATTGTATAGGGGTCTCCCCCTTTTTTGACAAATTAACACAAAGATTACCTTACCCTCTCTCTCTCTCATGTAAATTCAATTTTCCTTCTATTCTTAGCTTGTTTTTAAGAATTTAATAAAATTTCTCCTTTTAGTTTCCACCATGAAATTATTGTGCACATATGTTTTTCTCTTATTTTCTTCCATTTTTTTTGCTGTACCTAATTCAAATTTTGGCTGCAAGTCGAGTGACCAACTTGACATATTTTCTCTTTGGTATTGTGACTCGAATCCTAAGTAGTTCACTTACAACTTTGAATATTTGATCTTTTGCATCCCACATCATTCTCCCCCAGTGTGCAACTTTTAATATTTGATCATCTGTGTCCATATTATATTTTTCTTTTCTGTCAAAAATAGGAGATTTATGATACCTGGATACCCATACAAGGGTGTCATATCATGTAAGATACTTCAATTTTCAGTTTAAATTCCATATCCAACAAGCGGATGAAAAAAAGAGATTCAAGTGGATGATTCAAGATATGAAAGTGCAGTTCAGCTATGTTAAAAGGGCAGCAAATGGTTTTGCTGATATTTTAGCAAAACAAGGGGTGGGGAGGAACCAGTTGTTTTGGGCTCAGATGTAACAGTTTTTTTTTCTGTTTGTAATTTTTAATATTTCTAATGAAACTCTGTTATTGATCAAAAAAAAAAAAAAAAAACATCCATAACCAACATCTTGCTCAGATATGTCCTTTCTGTATCTGTGTAACATAGCTTTAAAGTTGAAATATTTGCAGTATATCTACGACTTCTTTCTTTGCTAACTAAAAGGTGTTGCAGTTGGGAAGGAAGAACAACCTCTGCCATATTTGTTGTACTTACAAGGAGGACCTGGTTTTGAGAGTCCACGACCAACCGAAGGCAGTGGATGGATAAGAAAAGCATGTGAAGAATATCGTGTTATTTTGCTGGATCAGGTAGGTTTTTTTGATAATCCCTTCATATGGTCCTAGACCAAGATGTAGTTACGTATACTTTCCTTTTGGACCCTCTAAGGAGTTTGTATCTTGCAGAGAGGTACAGGCTTGTCAACTCCCCTGACTGTATCATCGCTCTCACAATTTACATCTGCAGAGAAGCAGGTTGACTATTTGAAACATTTTCGAGCTGACAATATAGTTAATGATGCTGAGTTTATTCGTGTACATCTTGTACCTGATGCTGGACCTTGGACAATTCTAGGGCAGGTACTAAGACCGTTGAATCACTAACATTATATTTCAAATTCTGCATGTTTTATGTGTCACTAGATCTTTGTTTTGCAGAATTCTGTTTCTATTCCCCCAGAAAGTTTATTTTTGACAGCTATGCCTCTGGGCTCTGGCAGATAATTTTAGAATTTATTGGAGATGGTACCCTAGAATTATCTACACCACAGTGCACATTCCTTTTATAGCTGTTGCCACTTCATGTAGCTTTTCTTAAAGAAACAAAGGCACTAGACTGTCTTTCGACTCTTTTCCTACACTTATTTGTGTATTATGTTGCAGCTTTGATACATCAATTTTTTAAATTCACGAAGCAACTCATTTCTTTCTTTTTCTCTTGTAGAGCTATGGTGGTTTTTGTGCAGTTACTTACTTGAGTTTTGCACCACAAGGACTGAAACAAGTCCTCATTACTGGTGGTATCCCACCGATTGGAAAAGATTGCAGCTCAGATGCTGTATATAGAGCATGCATTGAACAGATACTTCATCAGAATGATAAGTACTACAAGAGATTTCCTCAGGATGTTGAAGTTGTTCGTGAACTTGTAAAGTTCTTGGTAGAATCTGAAGGTGGAGGGGTAATGGCCTATTATATCTTCATGCTGTAGTTTCCTAGTGCGGAGAACTTTAGTTGTATCTTGACAATCTCCTGCTTTACAGGTACTTCTTCCTTCTGGGGGCAAGTTAACCCCACGGGGATTGCAAACTCTTGGTCTTTCAGCATTAGGATCTAGTAGTGGTTTTGAGCGCTTGCACTACATGTAAGGCGTAATTTTTCTATCTTTCTATCTTTTATTTTTTTGTGCGTGTGTGCGCGCACGTGCGTGTATTTTGACATTCTTTCTATTGATCCAGTTTTTACTGCTTGCTGTAGGTTAGAGAGGGTTTGGGATCCTATTCTAGTTCCAGGAGCGCCAAAACGTATCAGTTACTTTTTCTTGAGGGCTGTAAGGAAACTTCTTTTGATTTGATTTTACATTGCATTCCTTGCTAATATGCCCTTGTTTTTTATCAGTAAAAAAATATGCCTTTCCCCCGAATAGTTTAGGTTAAGATGATAATGCATTTAAAATAACCCTGAGGGTCTGTTTCAGGATAATTATCTTTCTTAGCAATTTCACAAGGACATTTTCATTCTTCTTTATTTCCTTGGGAAAGTAAGAATATCAATTTAGAATCTACAACAACAATCACCTTGTGTAGGTCATGGTGTTTTTAGATTTTTTACAGAACAGGTCCAAGAATGTCCCAAACTGGATAGAGCTTATATTTAAAGAGTCTTTTTATATAAAGGTCCATGCTGACATGGCACTTTCAATGTGGAATTCAATTGTATCCTATGTTCAGGAACCTCATTTTTCTTGGTTCCTTTACTCTCTGTGCACCTGGAAAAGGCTATTGGTAGTGTCAACAGGGTTAAAAGGTCATAGGGTTTGCCAGGAGAATGTGCTTCCCCTCCACAAACCATGTATGCATTGCCATCCCCCAAGGAGAGGGCTATCATCATGTCATATGTCTCACATGCAGGACTCAAGGTACACTCACATTGTGTTCATGTGGTTGGGTAGGGAACAGGGTACCTACAATCATAGAATGAGAAGTGTTGTTCAATGATTTCTAGATGCCAAGGCATATTTTTATTATTTGATTCACAGAGCTTCACTATGTGCCCTTATCAACCAAGAAAAATATCCAATAAAAGATATATCTGTATTTAGATTATTAAATTTTGGGTTTCACCACTGACCTGTTACATACATCTATATTTACATCTTGTTTATCTCTTTTTTATTCTTTTTCTTTTTTTTTTTTGGATAGACGAAGGATATCTTGTTTATCATGAGTATTGATGTTCCTATTAAGTAAAAATTTAAGTTCCTATCAAGTTTCATTAAGTTTATTAGTAACTAGAGGAATTCTGAATATCAGAATTATTGTTGACAGCTCCATACTATGAGATGTTACTTGAAGTTGAGATATTTTGGATTGCATTTTTATGTTCTAGGTGCATTAGGCAGCTGGATGCACCCATTGCTAACTGCATGTCATTTTGTTTCTACAGTTTGAGAATTGGCTGGCATTTGATACAAATCCACTCTATGCTCTTCTTCATGAGTCCATTTATTGCAATGGCCAAGTAATTTTCTTTCTTTGAGCTATATTTACTACCATACCGCTCAAAAACAGTTCTTCTGTATAATTGCATGGGAATAAAGCTTATTAATGAGTTATTTCATGATGTTTAAAGTATCTTTATTAATTCATTAAATTGAAATGAAGGGAGCTTCATCACAGTGGTCTGCTCATAGAATAAGGAGTGAACATGAGAACAGATTTGATGCAATCAAGACAACAAAAGAAGGTGGCTCTGTACTTTTCACAGGAGAGGTAGGTGTAATAAGATTTTTTTAAGTCATCAACTGGTTTAAGACACATCAAGAGCTTTATAGAAAGATCAGGAAACAAACCACTGGGGTGGATGTTTTCTTGTAATTTAAAAGAGTTTTTTTGTTATTCATCGACAAAGAAAAAAAAAAAAAAGAAAACAAACCACAGGTGTTAAGGGTCCAAATTCTTTGGTAAAAGATCTATGAGGAGAAAGATGACATTGACATTTTCTAAACCTCTCCTTAGGCTTAGATCCAAAGAAACCCCCAATGTGGACAAGGAGGCAATGGTTGATAAAGGCCTATTCTTATGCAAGGTAATGGAATAATGTTCAAGAAAAGTAGCATAAAGGGGCACCCGCCCAAGTATTTTCCAAAATCTAACTCTTATTTTTGGCTTCAAAAAAAAAAAAATCTAACACCATTACTAGAAACTACATAGCTGATATCTCAGAAAAATGGGGTTAATAGCCTCAATTGCTTTCCATGAGCAACAATTAATGACTTTATTAGCAGGACTCAAGTCCCATTCATTGATATGTAAGCCATACTTCTATAACTGGATGCTAAAAGAAATTGGTTTCAACCGGAAAATACTGAAGCCAATTTCCTAGGAGGGCAGTGTTTGTCCCATCCATCTTTGTCACTGATTCTTCCTAGTTCTTTTTACTCTCATTTATTGGCTTCAAAAAAAAAAAAAATCTAGCACCATTACTAGAAACTACATCATAGCTGATATCTCAGAAATATGGGGTTAATAGCCTGAATTGCTTTCCATGAGAAACAATGAATGACTTTATTAGCAGGACTCAAGTCCCATTCATTGATATGTAAGCCATACTTCTGTAACTGGATGCTAAAAGAAATTGGTTTCAACCGGGAAATGCTGAAGCCAATTTCCTAGGAGGGCAGTGTTTGTCCCATCCATCTTTGTCACTGATTTTTCCAAGTCCTTTTTACTCTCATTTAGTTCTCACAAAAAGTCCATCATGATTTTCTTGTTTCTATTTACCATTTTAAAAGGGTCTCTAAAACTGGACAAGTGGTAAAGCAGTAGGTTCACAAAGATGTACTCGATTAGAGATCACTGCTTTCCGAAAGAAATGTAGTTGCTTTTCTGAAGGGGATTCATCTCTTACAGAAAATCTCTAGGACTCTATCCGAATAGGAAGTGATCCTAGAATTCCTTCTTAGAGGCAAGCCTAAGCAAGACAATGGCCAATGTACAACCTCACAAGTCACAACCTAGCACCCGTACACACATCTCTAAGTCTACTTGATCAAGGTGCTACATGCAAAAGAATACTAGTAATTTTTTTTTTTTTGATCAGCACAAAGAGTAATTTATTAATGCTTGAAAAATTTACAGATCCTTGCTACACAGTAGCCCAAATACATCGGAAACCAGAATGGCCACCCTGATTACCATGCCCCCCTTTTATTAATACAGATTACAACATTGCCCAAAATAGACTGGACCTGTCCACTCCCTGTTTTGCAAGAACATCTGACAGTCCATTTACTGTTCTTTTTACCCATCAAAAGCTAGTGTTACAACTTTTTGCAAGGTGGTCAATTTCCCTGAAAGCAAATTGATATTTCCAAGGAGTTGAACTAGTTTGTTTTGCCCAAGAAATAACCAATAAAGAATCTCCTTCCACGTCAAGCTCTCTAACACCCATCTGTGTTAATTTCAATTTTAATCCTTGTAAGAGAGCCATTGTCTCAGCCTTAATCAAGTCGCCAAATCCAGTTGGTCCAGACTCCAGAGAATAAAGCCACAACTGCACCTAGATGGTTCCTGAAAACACCCCCTATGCCCGCCCTCCCCGGATTACCAAGGAAGCTCCTATCAAAATTTAATTTCAATTTGTTTGGCCTTGGAGGTTTCTATTCCATTATCACTACTTCTTTGTGCGTATCTGTTTGTACCACTTCAGACCATTTCCATAATAAGTCATTTGTGGAAACATCTCTAAACAGCTCCAAAGTTTTAGCCCAATGTGCAGATCCGATCCTTATGGGTTCAATCACTTCCTCCATTGACCTACTCTTTTCTTGGAAGATTTTTTGGTTTCTCTCCCCCCAAATGGTCCATACCAAGGCTGCTCTTGTGATTTTCCATAGAGATCTTCCCCTTTTCTTCTATTGCCTTAAGAAATTGGAGTTAAATAGGCTAGCCACATCCTGAGGAGGTACCCATCTGCAACCAAAAAGAGAGCAGTAGTCCCAAATACAACTTACAAGTTACAAATGAACAGGAAAGTAGTAAATGAGGAAGGGTCTCACCACTGGCCTTGCAAAGGAGACACACATGAGGAGAGAGGCAATTATTTGGCCTTTTTTCTGTAGCATGTCACAGGTGTTTAACTTCTTGAGGAAACCTTCCCAACATAGAGCCTGAAATTGATCTTTAGACTTGACATTCTTTCCACTGTTTCCAAGATAGATTTGAGATTCCTCATGTCCTTCAACTTCCTAAACTCACCTAAGAATGGTATTATTAGAAAACTGTAAATGAGAAACTACCTTGCCTTCTTTGCCCACCTTAAAGCCTCTAGTTAGCCCTCTATCCTCTTCTCTTTGGAGAAGACAACTCAAGATTTCTGCTGTAAGGATGAAAAAGTAACTCATGTGAAGTATTGATCTGGAGAAAAACCTCATTTGAAGAGATAGCTCTAGGTTCTTTTCAGAAAGAGATAGATAAACGTTGTTCTTTTTAGGAGTGAGCTCTGATCCACACGTGTCAAAGGATACCCTCATGAGACCCTCTAGGTTCTTTGGCACGTGTTTTCATTCCTTTGCCAATCATCCATCTATTTGAAAAACTCCAAGAATACCCTCATGAGGTCCTTTTTAAAGGTCAACTTTTCTGGAAAAAAAGGCCATGGTAGAACCCTCTAGACTTGGAACCTTGTCTCTATTCATACAAAAAATAGCCATCTTTACCCATCTACCATAAAAGGCCTTTCCAACCTTTGTCTCAATTTAAAGCTGATAAATTCCGTGCTAAACCCTCAATGATGAATTCGAGTCTTACTACCAGACCATATAGTGCCAAAAATGAGATCTTGGTAAAGCTTCAATCTCAACCTTCTCCCTCATTTCATTCCCCATCTTACACCATCTTTAGGAACAAAATTTTCTTCTTAGTCTCATTTGCCAAAGATCCAACAAAAATTAAGAAAAAAAGAAAGAAATTTGTCTCATTTTCCAGAGTGTGGAAAAGCTTTTATTCTTATCATCTTCTTTAAGCAATTGACATCTGGACTTTTTTCTCTAGTAGATCTCTTTCCGCATTGTGACCCAATTCCTTCTTCCATTCTTTTCTACTGCTCGCATTGTTCAAGTGGATTCTCCCCCGCCCACCACACCTTCCAACTTAATTTTATCTATTAGGAGCTCTAGTTTTAGTTTTTTTTTTAGTTTTTCAACGGTTCCAAATACAGGTTTGTTCCAAGCTTTTAATTGGTTTCTGATCATCTTCAGATTTGGCATAAATTTACAATCTACCAACCTACATGAAATTGGACAATGATCCAAAATCCATCTTGTCAATATATTGAGGTAGACACCTCCCCAATGCTCCTCCCACTCACTTGTCACCATGTACCTATTTAGCCTGAGAGGGCTCCTATGAACTCCACTCATTCAAAGATCCACCATCTCACATCCTGAAAATACTACCCCATACTCCCCGAGGCTCATTTTGAAGGTGAAAAACTTATTTCTCATCCATTTACTATCTATAGCCTCCACTTTTGTTTCATAAATCATTATTATGTCTGGCTATGTTTCCTTGCTCTGCCTAGACCTCTAAAATTCCAACTTAAAAATCATCACTTGGATCCTTCTACCCCATTATTATCCTCTCACTCTGAAGAGTACCTCCTTTTGTCCACACTTGAATAAGTCTGGTCTGTTTGAACCTTGAAGATGCCAACTGTTCCACCTCTGTTCTTTTAGGTCTAGTAGGTGTGTTGCTGATGGTTCACACAGTTTCATCCACAAGGAATACAAGATCCTATCTAAAATTTGAGGGGCTCCCTATTTTCACCAAACCTCTCACTGACCTCTTCACACCTATTCGATCAACCTCCCTCTCTTCTCAATCTAGTCCCCTACCATTTCCCCAATTAGGCATATCGGTGAGGGAACCATCCCCTGCTCTCTCAGAGGCAAGAACCTTCACACAATTTACAAATCCTTGAACCAATTTTTAATATCAGGGCTTGGCCACAGTTTGTGCATTCTCTCCATTGTTCTCCATGCCATTTAGTTATAGCTTTGCATTTAGCAATTCTCAGGTCCAACTTTTTATCATCAGAAAACAGCATCCACCATAGGACTTGTGATGCCCGGATACCTGTACAAGGGTGCTGTATCATGTCAGATACTTAAGTTTTTAGTGTAAATTTTATATCCAGATCCAGCTGCCCTTACTGTATATGGGTGACATAGCATGGGACCCTATGTAAAGCAAAGTTTTTCTATAGCTAATACTGAAACATAAGGGCTAGGGCTAGGTACTGACTTTTGGGATCAGCGTGGACATCCACATAGATGCTAAATGGATTCTTATCCATATCTTTGCTTCCTCCTCTGCTTTACTCAAATGTAATTACACATTCTGCCATAGTATCGCTGTCATATTAGGCTTTTTATTCAAAAGAAATCTCCAAAGATGATGATTTTTCCCGTAGTTTTAAAGGCGCCAAAGCGAGGTTGGGCGTCTGGGGGGCGCCTTGTCACCTAGTCGCCTAGGCGACGGATTTTTTTATATAGAAAACATAGATCCTAGGGTAGTTCCCTAGGTACCATAGCCATATTTTCCTTAATAATTATTCATAATTTTCATAAGAAAAGTATAGAGTTCATGTTAAAGTATAGAAAATCAACATATTCATGAGAAGAAA